TTAAATTGGTTTTACAACGGCTAGATGAACACGCTTTAACTTTAAAATTTGGGGTTAAAATGTAGCGACACGTTTTTCAAGATAATAATTTTATATTATTTAAATTTTCTCAATCGTTACAACAGATGGTGAGAGTTGTACAAATGTATCTAGCACAACCTTTGTAGAGGAGTTAGGGTTATCTCTTATGAGGCATCCACAACCTTACAAATTAGAGTGGTTCAATAATTATGGAGAAATACGGGTTACCAAGAGGGCCTTGGTGAATTTCAGCATTGGGCGGTACCATGATGAGGTGTTCTGTGATGTGGTTCCAATGCATGCGGGACATTAGTTGTTGGGAAGACCATGGCAGTGTGATAGGAGAGTAAAGAAAGTAAAGGGTTCACCAGCTTTGTGATGGGTGGAAAAATAATTACTCTTGTGCCTTTGACACCACAACAGGTCCAAGAGGACCAACTGAAATTGAAAAGTGAGCGAGAAAATGAGAATAAAGAGCGAAACAAGGAGAGCAGGAGAGAAGAAAATAAGGTGGCTGAGAGTGAGAAAAAAAGAGTAGAACCACATGAAGAAAAGAAAGGGAAAAATCAGAGTGGAGAGAAAATTCTGAATTAAGCCTCTACGCGAGAATAGTGGAGTGTGAGAGAGCTTTGGTGAGAGCTAACAGTCCCCTTCCCAATTTCGATAATTCTCTTTTGCAGAAACTCAAGGAAGATGAATGGATGAGTGACAAAGAAGGTAAATGCAATCGCGCCATGGTAATTTATCAAATCCCTACACCTAGGATAGGTTATGATCTTACATGTATGGAAAAATTCTCACTTGTTTATGAATTGTGTTTATTACACCATGAAATTCTAACATGTCACGCGGAGTTCATTACCTATGAAAGGCAATTTGGGTGCATTATAGCTGATTGGGTGAATGACTGTCTTTATTTTAATCAGGTTATCCCTAAATGTATTAGATTGGATTTATGGCATGTGTTAGGAGTAGGTCTAGTGTCTACTATATCCATCATATGCATCAATTTCACAAGTACTTTTCATCTACTAACCTCGTTCAATTCAATGACCTTCTGTATTGGTGTTAGTAGTAGTTTTGGTGAAAGGCGGGTGATTATTATACTATGGAATCGAGTCTTGTATAACCCAGGTGATGGTAGTTGGGTGATCATGTGTATGAGGCGAAAACGAGTTCAAATGAGGTCCGTGCTATATCCTACAGGAGACTGACCTTCCCATATTATTGTTATTAGCGAGATCGATGGACACAGCTTGGTTCTTTAGGGTAAGTTGGTGATTATCAACATTTTTGAGGTTGCTATTTTTGCTTCATTTGATGCAGGTTTAGATTCGAAGTCGAATCTTTTCGAAGAGAGAAGGGATGATGTGATCCAGATAAGGCTTCAAATGAGCAAAGAATTGAAGTACATTGAGGCGGAATCAAGGTCGAGCTCGGAAGGAATCAGGGTTTAAATCAAGCCGAAGAAGCCATGCAATCAAATGATCGAGCCACAAGGTTTTCCTAGACGAAGTTGACAAGCCAATGGACAAGTTTCATGTTAGGGTCGAGGGCCGAAACGAGTTCGAAGGCATCAAAATCGAAGGTCGAAGCAAGGAAGCAAAATGGAGAACCATGCGGCCACATGGTTCCCCAAGCCATGCAGCCGCATGGCTAGCACCCGAAAGTTTCATGGGCAAATTGGTTTTTTCTGGCGAGAATTTTCAATTTTTATTTAGTTTCCTAGTTTGATTCAATGACCTTCTTTTAGCATATTTTGGGCCCAATTTCGTGGCAAATAGGGTTTCCTTAGTTTTCATATAAATACTTTGCATTATTTCATTGTAGAAACTTTTGACCATTATTATGAGATTTATACAACTTTGATGAGATTTATTCCTCCATTTTCTTGGTTGTTTAAATATCTAATTGAACTTATCAAAGGAGATCGCAGTCCTTTTGTAGCGTTCTTACTTCACGGTTCTTGTTCTGGGTAATCAACGGGTCGGATTTCTTAGCGTAATCTCGGTTCTTGATATGGGTCGAACAACGGGTCGGGTTGATCTTTGTGCGACGTGATTTCTAGTTTTTTTGGGTTGGTTACATCTTGTTCGTGGGTTCCCGAGATCAATTCTTGGTTGGTTCACATCAAATCCCCTCGCCAATGCACAGCTCGAAACGATCTTCCCTTATGAAGAAATCGAATCATGCGATAAACCCTCCAAATGATATGTCTGGCCTCTATGCGGATCATCTAAATATCAATAGAGGAATAATAGTGCGATTGTGTTCACATCGAACATACTGTCCAGAATACTGTCACCTCTGGAACCTCTG